AGCAGTAGCAGTAGTATCAGCAGTAGTAGTAGTAGTAGTAGTAGAAGTAGTAGTAGTAGTAGTAGGAGGTGGTAGTGGTAGTGGTAGTGGTAGTGGTAGTGGTAGTGATAGCAGGGAAGCAATACAGGCAATACAACCGGCTCAGGTGGTGCAGACTTCGTCTGCCCTGGCGGTGCTCAGCCGAGGTCTGACCTTGCAGGGCTTGGACGGAGAGAAGTCTTACAAAGCGTGGAGTCCTCCCTAACCCATTGGATCCAAGACCAACACAAGTCATCTCGAGCCCTTCCATGTTGCCAGTCGGGTACACTCGACTGCCCCTTGCCGTGGGTCCGACACTGTAGAACCTACAGTGCAGTCTACCAGTTGGCTAGTGGAGCAGTGACAAAGCTTCAAAACCAGACTACCACTGTCAAAAATTGCATAGTTACAAAAACTGACCCACGGCTCAAAACCACCGTCTTTCCGATCCTCGACCTTGCGAGGGTACGAGTGGACACGAGCGGCATCCATGCTGGCCGGCTCCCGATCAGCCAGCCAGCAGGCAGCCGCATGGCCCCAAGCGTGGATCACAACTCCGACAGTGCTTAGTCCCACGCATGTTGAACATGTTGAGTCTTGCGAGCATCGCATTTGTCAGTTTTCCTGCCCGAACTTTAATGCGAGATGCTATGTCTCGTGACCACGAGTCCACAGCTGAAGGGCTGAGATTGAGATCGTGCACGAGTTGATTGAGCACGTACAGATCAAAGTGTGGTAGCCTGGTAGGCAGGATGTGCCACCGGCTTCGGTTGTTTCAGAGCTTTTCCCGAAACCCTGCCATGCCACATCCTCACAGCTTGTAGCAACTACGGAGTAACAGCAGGCCTGGTGATCACCACACTTTGCGTCAATAACGCCGCTGCCAGTGCTTTTTTCTTAGAACTGGAGATCGTGAGGAAATAGATCCTGGGAGCCGAGGACGTCATCGCGGTCGGTGCCGTCATCGCTGCCAAAAGTCGCTTCAGGGAGTGGGCAGCCGGGGTCCGAGCTGCAAGGGCTTCGGGGAAGCGGCTCGGATTGTCGAAATCTTGGATCCAGGACATGCAAGGTTCGGGCTTCCCGGCTTTGTGGAATCCCAAAGCTTACACGCCACGGAGCGAACCCTCAAAACTTGAGCCCTTTGCGCCTCCCACACCCTCTCAGCCTTAGCCCTTTGCGCCTCAGCCCTGGACCCGGGTTTGGAGCCGAAGGATCGGCTTGGTGTTCGAGCGCACGCTGACATTCCCTCCCTAAACACAACTTCTAAATCCTAGTCCTAAACTGACGCAGAGGCCTCCGCCTCGCTGCTGGCCGCTCTTTGTGCTGGCGGTATTTCACCAAACTCGGAGGTGGGTTATGGGATTTCAGTAAGGCCCATATAGGGACCTATATTCAGAATGTACTTTGCAACTGATGGCTGTCATGACTGTTCTTGTTGGCTGAGATTTTCAGCATACAGTTCACGCATACGGATCGTATGGGGAAGGTTCTTACTTGCGGCAATTGTTCTTACATAGTCCTGTTGCTTAGCTTCTCGATTTGTTGCCGGTGTGGCGCGGTGTATGTACGGGCTGCAGCATCGGAAGGAAGGCCAGAAGCCACGATTTAGAAGCAGAGCAGAAAAGGTCGATCCGAACACGGGATCGGAGTGAAGACGAGCCGACAATCACTGCAAGCGAGACCTGTGAGGTGCTGGCATGTTAATCCCGAAGTTTATTCAATAGCAAGATTGACATCGGGCCTCTGCAGCTCAAGGCTAGGACCCGTACTGGTGATTGTGGCAATAACGATGAGCACTCTGATGGTGATGGTGATGATGACGACGATGATAATGATGACGATGACGATGATGATGATGATTATGATGATGACGAAGCCCCGCGGCTCACAGGTGAACGCCCGAGTTGTGGAGTTGGGTTCGGGGTGTCCTCCTTTCGGGGGCTTCCCTTCGGCTTGGGCTTGTGGGGTTGTGTGTGTTTTGGTGTTGGGACCTTCGGCGAAGTACATGAGCGATGGTGGCCGCGACCACGCCCTCTGCTCGGATGACAGCACGGAGCGGGAGAGAACCCCGCGTGACGTCCAGTGGAATGGCCCTGCTACTCTTCGTGAGCTGTTGCCAGCTGGCCCTCCTATGCCGATGCTTGCTTTACAGGAGTTGCGTGCTCAGCGAGACATCAACCCGGCTGATGGCAGGAGCCGCAGCCCCAGCCTGGACAGGGCTTCCATGGGTTCACGGCCAGAGCGGGAGTGGCCGATGCACAATGGGGATCGACTTCAAGGACCGCACCTCCCCAACGGCAGGTTCGGCGAAACTTCTTCCTCATCATCCTCCCCGCGGCTGGACTCAGACGACGATGTTTCTCTTTTCGCGAGCAGTGAATCAAGCAGTGCCCCGGCAGCAGCCGCAGTGCATGCTGGCCCCGGCCCGGATGCCGCAGATGCCCATGCAGCTGCAGATGCCCGTGCAGATTCGGAAGACGGCTCTTCAACGTGGAGCACAACCACCTTGGTGCTTGCAGGACCGTGTTTGGTCCAGGCCCGCAACCACTTTTTGGGCCTCCTGCGCCTGCAACTGTCTGCCACGGAAACTCTCTCAAGCCGCCAGCAAGGCGGCAGAGTGGGGGCCATGCGTCGAAGGTTACAGCAGCAGGACTGGCAAGCAGTCTGTGAGGCGGCTGTCAGGCATCTGGACGGTGACTTCCTTGCCAGATGGCGGGACTACCAGTGGCGGAGCACACACGAGCGACGCCCCAGGCGTCCGGATGACGGCTCGGAGCCGAGGCGGTGAGCAAACTGGCCGCCCACGGAGCCTGTGCAGCAAGCAATTCCAAGCACTTGCCTGCCTTCACCCTTTCGGCCCCTACTTCACTAGGCTTCGGTTTAGGCCTCCTAGATCTGTGTCTTCGCCCGATAAGACCCCTGACCAAGTGTACTCTGCTAATCCCCACACACCCAGGACACACATGCTGCTGTGCCCGCTCCGCCGGCCAGCTGTCCTCGCTGGTCGCTGGCCAGACAGCTCAGCAGGCCAGACAGGTCTTTTTACCCCTAAGTCACGAGCCCCTCATGCCACCCAAAGCCCGCACTCCATGGTGTCACAGCCGAGCCGGTCCCAAGTCCGGCGCCTATCTCCGACTGCTTACTTTGGTTGGTCTAGGTAGGGAGATAGGAGGGGTGAGGGTTACCTCTGCTGCCGCGGCAGAGGTTGGACCTGGCTCTACAGAGCCGGGGAAGCATCGCGGACCGGTGCTGGGCGCGCCTCCCGGTCTAGCCCCTAAACCTAGGACCTCTGAGAAACGAGCGTACCGCAGAGCACGTATGCGTGCATTGCAGAACGGCGGCACTTATTACCGTGGCCGATGGCATTCAGCAGCAGACCTGCGAGCCCTGGAATACGCTCCTCAACCCCCACAGCCCAGGTCACTTCGAGCTGCGCCACGTCGACGCCAGGCCCGCATACCGCCAGTGACGTGTTTGAGTTGGAACGCGGGAGGGCTTAGCTCGGCTGTATACCAGGAGCTCATAGCATGGCTTGACGTGCAAAACAAGTACCAGGTCATTCTGCTTCAGGAGTCTCATTGGCCGCAAAGTAGCGACTTTACCTCAGGCAGTTGGCTGTGCATCCACAGTGCCAGCGATCCGGCCGAGGCACATGATCGCTATGCCGGGGTTATGGTTATGCTTTCGAAACACCATTTCCGAGACCCAGCTGCGCATGAAATACATAAGGGTCGCATATTGCATGTTCGGGCCACACATATTGCCACACACGCCCCTGTGGACATTTTAGCTGTGTATCAACACGTCTGGAGAAGTCATTTGACAGCGCAGCAAAATCATGACCTCCGAGGGGGCGTATGGAGCCATCTGCATGCCACGTGTGCCAAGATACCGGCTCGTCACTTCCTGCTGGTGGGCGGAGACTTCAATGCCAGTGTTCGGCCGCGGCGCCAGGAGGCAGGGCCGGCCAGCATGCCGGGTACAGCTACCCAGGCTGACCAGCAGCTCAACAGGTTGCTTACGGCTCATAACTTGTGCGCTCTGAACACCTGGAGTGCGCGACCTGCTTATACGCACTACAGCCACACAGGCAACACCCAAATTGATTACGTGATGGTCAGGTGTGTTACTGCAGGTCAGACAAGTAAGGCGGCGAAACCCCTAGTAAACTTTCCTGTAGCTGGGTGGAGACAAAGTGGGCACCTGCCAATTCAGGCGTCACTATCAATTGTGCCAGTGCACTGGCGCGCAGACATTGCAGGCGCCAAGCCCTTGCAGTATGATAAATCAGCGCTCCATGCAGCGCTCGCTTCCAATGCCGAGCAGGTTGGCGAACTCCGCCAGCAAGTGCAGGCTGCTGTCAACCAGGTCCCCCCAGGAGACCTGCACCAGTTGCATCACCGCGTGAATCATATTCTGTGCCAGGCTGTGCGCCAAGCTTTTCCCGCCAAGCCGGCGGAGGATGCCAGAATCAGCGCGCAGGCAGGGTATCGGGCATCAGCTCGTCATGTTTGGCGCCTCTATGCGCAAATGAAGCGGGCACGTGTTGCAACTGTAGGACGCCTGCTTCAGCAGTGGCGCTTTGCGGCTGCCTTTGAGAGGGCCTCGCGGGCACTCAGAGAGCAGAGCAGGCAGCTTAAGCGTGCAGCCTTTCAAGACAAGCTCGGCAAAGCGGAGGCAGCGGCACGCATTGGGGACCAGCGTACTCTCCATGGCATCGTCAGGTCGCTTACCCCAGCACATAGGAAGCTGTTCTCCCGACTCCGGAATCAGGATGGCAAACTGCTGTCCAAAGTGGAGGAAGCCCAGGCGTTAGCTGACCAAGGCCGCGCCACCTATGCACTCTTCCCGGACTTGCCACTTGCGGGTCCTTTGACCCAGGCTCTGAACATCACGGACGAGGAGGTGGTGAGTCAGTTCCGGGAGATCAAGGTGGGCAAGGCCGTGCCTGGCCACATTGCGCCAGCTGGAGTGTGGAAGCTGTGCGCAGACTGTCTCGGCCCAGTCTTTGGGGCTGCCTTTCGGGGGCACTTCCAGGAGGGTCATACTGGTCTTCTCAGCGGGGACCTCACCGATGCCACAATGGCCATGTTGCCGAAGCCACATAAGCCTGCACATATCTTAGCCAATTTGAGGCCCATTGGGCTCATGGCTCCCACCTCCAAGGCCTTGGCAGGAATCCTGAAGCTTCGCATGATGGAGTGGCAACTCCCGCTGCTCCGTCATAGGCCACAGTATGCGTATCTTCCTCATCGCGGAACCATGGACGCGCTCTTCCGCGTACACAAACACGTGGCAGAGGCTATCATTTTGTTCCGAACCAGTAGAGTCACACGCTTTGGTGCGTACCAGGGACAGAAGCCTCGCCCCTTCACAGGCGCCCTTAGCCTGTCCCTCGACCTGAGTCGTGCATTTGACCTCACCAACAGGCCCAAGCTCTTTCAAGCCCTCCATGATTATCAGGTGCCTCCAGCGGTCATCGAAGTGGCCCAACGCCTGCACTTCGGCTCCCGCTTCCTTTACAAGGCCGGGAGTTGCCGCTCAAGCTTTGTGACGTCTAACGGACTAAAACAAGGATGCAAGGTCGCCCCGAGTCTTTGGGTCTGGTACACCCTAGCCCTGATGGATGCTCTTGAGAAACAACTACCCGAGGGGTGGGTCCAAAATGTTCTCACTCTCTTCGCAGACGATTGTTGGGCCAGTTGGCTGTTGCATTCCCTGGACGACCTCAGGAAGGCGCTGCGGGAGTTGACCGTTTTACTCAGCACTCTGGAAGCTTTCCACATGCAGATCAATTACGGTAAAACAGCAGTGCTTCTCAAATTCGTGGGTAAACAGGCCAAGCAGGCCCTCCACGACATCACTCGCATGAAAAATGGTGTCGCTCATCTCTGCCTTGTTGTCAATGGGGTTGAACGTCTTATCCCACTGAAAACTGAGCATGACTATCTGGGATCCAAGGTGTCGTACCATACCAACGGAAACCGAAGCCGCAAGAATTGTCGGCTCCCAAAAAGAAACGGGTTCTTGAGATGGAAACCGGGATTCAGATTTCAAGCCAAGAAGCAGACATGTCATCCGATGTTATGTGCATATAGGCATAACGACTTAATACAAGATCGGTGGATAACTTCGGAACAGATTGTTCTTTGAGCTTCGTGCTTTGGGGCTTTAGGGTGTTGGTTTGTAGATTTGGGTCTTACAGAAGGGTTTGTAGGTGATTGAAAGCTCGGCTACATGGTGCCTCGAGGCTATATGTTGGGTTGTGAAGCTTTGTAAACGATTTCAAGATTGTCAATCGGGTGTGGAGCCTCATAAGGGGTTTGGATATACGTTATTGGTTCGCCGAGGTTGGTGATTGTGCAGGGGTCTCAAGATTTTCTGGGAAAGGGTTTGTCGAAGCCTCCTATCCCATGTGGTGGCTGCTGCTGGTGGAGCTCTTTTGCCGCATCCTCAGCTCGGAATGATCAGCTTACTAGACACAAACTTTTCGTAGGCATCCAATAAATACCTTTGAAGAACCCGGGTGGATGCCAGCTGGGGGGCCACCCTTCTTGATAACCTCGACGGTCTCCCCACATAGTCCTCATCTTGTTGCACCCCATGGCACAACGGGTGCAAACTCGGAATGTTTTTTTCCGAATGCTGAAGAAGCTTCACGACTATGTGGTGTACGACATGGCATTTGGGAATCAAACCCCATAGAGATTTGTTTCTGTCGTGCGAAAGTTGTGCAAGCGACGCGTAGCGTCGCAGGAACCTCATCCCAAGCTCCCCGATCCTGTGGGCGATGTCTGGTTGCAAAAAAACCGAATCATGTTCATACAACATGCGCATGCACTGATTCATTGCACAAGTGGCCTCGGCAGCCATTTGCAGCATCTTGTCACGCGAAACATCCATGTGCTCGAACTTGTGTTGCAAAAAGTGCATCAAGTCTGTAGTGAGCTGTCCCCTGTGCCAGCTCCCAGAGGGGAAATCAGAGCGAGTATTCCATCCTATTAGCTCCTGTGTCAGTTTCGGCTGAAATGTGCCTGCCTTGAAAGATTTCCACTCAGCGTTCAGGGCCCCGAAACGAATATCAATGTTTGAGCCTTCTGTCTCATCAGACAACACGGCGATACATGAAGACACGTGGGTCTTTCCGACTCCCAAATGAAAAGCGTGGAAAATATCAAAGGCAAAGATTGCAGCCACCTCGCCCGGAGGGTGGTGCAATCGTGCCAAACTCGGCGGGGTCACCCAGGGATCTTGTTCAAACATTGTCTGCAACCACTGCGGCGTCCTTCTGTAGATGTCCTCGAATGGGACATCTTTCTGGCCAGCCCGGCACAAATGACAGATGCCTGCCGGGTCCTTGGCCTTGCTTTTTGTAGCCCGAGCCTTTGCCCCGGCCTTGACCATGTTGTTGTAACTCCGGCAAAGGCCGCCAGCTTTGTGAAGCCAGCTCCAATCGCCCACCACATTGAGGACCACCATAAAGCGTGATCCCAAACGGTTGTTGGAAACGCCATGCCTTGCCATAAACAATGATTCTGAGGATGCACTTTCGAGAACCGCATTGAAGATGTCTGGGTCAGAGTAAAGCACCTTCGGTAAGGCGGCATGGCCAAAACGATTCGTCAACGAATGACCAACATAGTTACATCTCAACTTGACATATTGGCCAGGATTTTTCTCCCGGGCGTCTTTGTCCAGACCTGCTTGGATACCACGCCCAATAATGGAGTGGAAGTTGGTAGCCAGCCATCCCTGGCGTCGCCGGCCTCGCCCTTCGTCGCCGTGAAAAACCATTGGCGCGGTGTTCTCCAAACTCAAATCCAACCCAAAGACCGGGTGATGCGGGCAGAAGCGGCGGAATTCAGACCAAAAGCCCCGAAGAATGGCTTTTTCTCTTTGTGTATCAGGGGATAAAAGTCCACACAGAATGTGCCAACGATTTGTGTCCAGGAGAAACTGCGCCCAGTCCCGAAGCCTCAACACCGGCAACTTCAGCTTGCCCTCACCCAGATCGTGCAACGGAATGGGCAGGGAGAGTTTCATTTTTTTGGATAACAGTCTTCCGGTATCACGCTCGGCATTCGACAGGCTGCACTCAGCAAAACGCTTCAGCCCTCCGGAAGATCTAGCAGCCTCCGGGCCTATGTCCGCAACAACGTTGCGGGCCGTCCGCACCACGGACTTGCAAGGAACCTTGGCGCACGGTGGGCAAATTGCATGACCAGCTGGTGCTCTTGATTGCTCGGCAATGCTCATGTGCACATGTATGCGTCGATCGGGCAACTGGTCTCGTATGTAGTGTCGCTAGAACACATGCTCTTGCAGTCGGAATCAGATTGTCTCTATTTTCAGCGAGCTAGTAAGCGGGTTGCCTCCCCCGGCAGTATAAGCTGTACATAGGTTGAACATGTCACATCACTTTGCCCTCCGCTTGAAAGAGCCAGCCTCCGTTGGAGGATGTTTGAAAGATCTGTACACGATGTAAGTCATGTACTGGCCACCTGAGGTGTCCAGCTTAATGCCGTCGCCACCACGGTTGACATTGCGGCACCCAGGCCTGCCTCGGATGGCAATGAAGGTTTCGATCGGGTTTCGATATTGAGTGGAAGAGACATGCACTGCTTCGTCGATTGGCAAACCATTATATCGACAAGGCACTTTGAAACTTGTCAATTAATGCAGCCTCCAGCATGGCGGGGGCATCGGGGTTCCTAGCCAGGTACAGCACAACCATGGCCTGCCATTTATCATGAGGATCGTGGAGGTAGCCATAAAGGGTGTTGCACCATCTCCATGCAGCATCGTGAGTCCAGCCGATTTTGAACACCATAGGGGCACTCTCACGGAAGAGCTGCTCAATGGTAGATGAAGCATGGGCTAGCACGTTTCCCGCCGAGCCGCTTCCTGCAGGAAGCTGGAAATGGATGCAATCGAGTGCCTGGCACCGAGCATACACCTCAGCTAGGCCACATGATACCTGTCGTGGCACATCAACCTTCACACTCGCGACGCTCGGCTCGGGCTCAGGTTGTTGTGGCGGTGATAGTTGTCGGCACTCGTTAGCACCCACTGCCGTCTTTGATACATTCCAGGGAAAGGGACCACTGCAATCCTTGGTTTGGATGGTGGCTTAATTGCGTGCTGGTTCGGGTTGCACTACAAAAGGAATTAATTGTGCATGCAGATAAGTTCAAGCTAGCTTCGGATGTGTGGCACGAGAGGAGCTCTAGAAGTTCTTCTTCTGCATCTTCTGCGGTAAAGCTCATGATGCAACCACAGGACCCGCCTAGAACCACACAGCGTTCCTTCGAGCCGGCACACCATCAGGTTCGTAGCACAGACGAGTGCAACACAGTTCCAACTGATTGGAACACTTGACCATTGACCTCCTGTAACACTTGAGACGGCTCAGGCTGGAACACCAGCGCCGATTTCTGCTGCGAAGCCGCGAATCGCTCTGCCGGGCTTGGAGCCTGGCGCGTATTGTCAGGCAGTGCAGCGGATGAGGGGTTTGTTGATTGTTTGCTAGGTAACATGAAACATCGCGGTGCAAGCCTTCAAGCAACTGCCAAAGCACCGTGCAGACACCTATATAGCGATGCATATATTAATGCAGGAGCTGATTTTGCGTTCCCCATCCTCCCACGCCGTTCGTTTGGTAAAGCACCACACGAAGCGTCATTAAAGATTTTGCAAAGCAGCTGGCAAGCCGTGCATGACAGCGAACTCTGACTTCGAGGGCGACTAGCTTCGAAGCCCTGTACAAAACTATATATATATATATATTTATGTAGGGTTTAGTGTTTATAGGGTTTAGGGGTTTAGGGTTTATAGGGTCTTTATATATATATATATTGTCAGGCTGTACCCAAACCCTATAACCCTAAACCCGTATAAACCCTATAAACCCTCTCTCTCTCTACATATATATATATATAAACCCTATATAAACTTCCTAAACCCTGTATATAAACCCTAATCAGAAACGATGACGTGGTAAATCGTTTCAGCCGCACAACCATGTGCGTAAGATCTCTGCCTACTCTAATATACCTATACATGTATATAGAATCTACCGTTGTATACTGTTGTTTTTACCGTCTATACCTGATAGACTCGACATACTATGAATTATAATTTCAATTAGAACAATCCCAAACACATATATATATTAAATATAGAAGCCTAGAGTGAATGTGGAAACCCACATATGTGTGTGTATGTATAACGACCCAAGACAAAGCTAGCCCCGACCCTAAGATCCCACAGCGTCCCTATGTACCGAAACCATGCACCCTCGAAGCCTTCTCTGTGAAACATCAGGTCCTTTTGGGAGCTGGTCTGGCCTTTGCCTTGGTTTTGGGGGCGGCCTTGGGCTCGGCGGAACATGGAGCAGCCTTAGCCTTAGTCGTAGCCATACCCTTCTTGTCCTTGTCGTAGTACTTCTTCGCATTCCTGCAAGAGGGCCGGGGTTGGTGTATATAGGGTCGTATACGATGCTGTAAATGGGCTTGCGGGTTTGTAAGCTTTTTTTAGTATATTGTTTAATGCCACTACCCAGCAGAACCCGAATGGCTCTACAGCATCAAATTTATATATTATATACATACAATATTTAATTTAATGTACATATGTACATTGACCTACTCGAACCTGCTTTGTTGTAGGGCCCCTACCAATCCCGTATATAGGTGTGTGTGTAATCAAACAAACAACAGGTCTCGATAGTTGAACGTAGATGGGGTTTAGAAGGGCTTGTATAGCTTATATGCATCATATGTAGGGTCCCTACATAAGCTTTATAAGCTGATATAATTGTGAAATTTATGTTTGTTGGGATTGATAAGTGGGATTGATATAAGTTTCAAACCGGCCCCGAAGTTTCCCAAGCCCCTCGATCCTGATCCTCTGCTCAGTCGCAGCAGCCTTGCTGGCCCTCAGTTATATAGTTCTTGAACGATGCAGTTGCTGAACATATATCGGTTGAAAGATTCAAACGAAAGCTCAGCTCCCAACACAAGGGTTCCTGCCTTAATCTTCTGATCGGCCAGCTTTTTCAACCTAGGAAGTTTTAAGGCTTTTAAGGCGAGTCGCATGGCAGTGCAAACACAATCACTTCATTAGGTGAGTAGCTCGGCATTCATGCCATTAATGTCAGCTCGCACGAAGATTTCATTGCACTCTTCGAAGTGGTGTTCAAGCTTCTGGACCATTTTGTGGAGTTCCTCAGCAGACCTGGGCTGAACAAAATCTAGATACAGGAGTTGCCGAATAATGCGAAGCTTGTGTTGGGGATTCGACTCCCTGGCTTGCTTCGATCCTTTGTAGTTGGCATCCAGGTCCTTTGCGAGTCCTCGAAGTTTGCACGACTTCATGTTGATGGAGTCGGAAAACTTCTTCAGGGTTTCCAGCTCCTGCAGACACCCAGACCATCTATATAGAGGGGATCACGGGTCTATATAGGTACATAAGAAACAAGGACAGCATCTAGATCGATAGAATTTACATTTCCCGGCCTGAGCATACTGGTCAGCTTCCTTGGACTGTTCAGCATGGGCAGCATCTCGATTCAGGCGATCTTCCATTTGCCCGACCCCCTTGAAGCTCTGATCAGGAAGCTCCACCGCCGCGCCCTGATCGAGCAAGGCGCTTGGATGATGGGGTTAACACAACACACCCTCATGCAGAGGCATAGAAGGCCTTCTCCTTCTGCTGTTGGCGCTCTTCCCGCGTAAGCGTCTCCTTCCTCTCCCCCCGCTCCCGAACCGTTACCCAGTATTCCAGGACCCCGTCGTAGAGGTTTGACCTCAGAGGCACTATGTACACCCAGTCAAGTTATCCATGCATGCATTTATACTCAGCTAAAGGTACATAAGGCTATAAGCATTGCGAAAAAGTGGCCGCACATGGCTCTCCTTGTGGGCCATGCAATAGCGCTTTACTCCCTCTATGCGAGTCCTTAGATAGCGGGCGAAGGCACATACATGTGTTCGTGCGTGTGTTCCAGCAATAAAACCCAAAGTTCACACACACACGCACACACACATGGACAATTAAGAAGAGTTACGTAGTCCAGTGCAATTCATCCTTAAGTTCAGCTTCACTGAACCATCCCTGGTCCAATTTGACTGTAATCTTCTCCTTCTTGACGACGATGCGTTCAACGGTCGCGATGAATTCGTCCTTGTAAGCTCGGCCGATTGAGGGCTGTGTGAAGCGATACAGAGACGACTGCATGTGTGTGTGTGTGTATGACCAACACATCGACATTACAGGGAGTGGCAAGGCTCCCTGACAAAGTTGCAACTTTTCAGAAGCTCCGCCAATTCATCCTTCGCCTTCGTGCCCTTGTTCCAGTGTGCCTTGAGGAACTCCGGGGCTTCTAGGTCGCTTCGCCGGGAGTGAGGAGCACACATACGACGGATTCGGGCTTTTGCTGCGAGATTCAACATCTCCTGCAGACTCCAACATGTTAATAGGATTGTGTCCGTAACATGAATGAGGCTTCTACTAAAAAATGTTGTGCGATGAAACGAGGCCGGTCCTGCCGAGTGTATCGCCTTGTCTTCAGCCGCTTTGCAGCTGCCGGGTTCTCAGCAGACTGAGTATCATCAAGAGCACGCTTCCGGACAGGGTCGCCGCTCGAGGCCTCAGCATCCTCGGTAGCCTGAACATTGCTAGCCTCGGTAGCCTGAGCCCCTGAAGCAGTCCGAGTAGTTTCGGGCAGCTCACCCTTGACACACTGTGTGCGCACGGGTGTCGCCACGGGCCTTCCCCTAAGCTGGGCATCTTTGCACGTGGAGGTCTCCGGCACAGGAACCTGACCTTGGAGATCCTGATCAGGCTCGGCCTTTGCAGCAATCAGAGCAGGGCCTAGCATCGATTGCAGACTGCTGATGATCTCGCAATCATTGAGATTGTCCTCATGCATGCAGATACAGAATGAATGCATAACAGAACTGGATCTTGATGAACACATGTCAAGAGAGCTATGCACTACATACACTATATAAATGTACTGCAAGCAAGTATCATCAGCATTATCACTCTGATCATCGTCGGCCGCTGGGTCATACATTTCCGCAAGCTGAGACTCAGTTGCCTGCAATCAGACAATCTCCAGATGAAGTTTACATCACACGACGTACACACAAAACCTGTACCTTGCATAGTTCATCATAGCCCAGTCACTGGCACAGTCTCCATACTTGGAGGCTCCTGCTCGTCCGCGTTGCCGCGCGGATAAGGATCGTCCAGGTCCTTCGGCATCGGGGGCTGTACCTTGAGAGGAGAGGAGGGGGTAAGACAGAAAAGGGTTTATAGGGTGTATATAGGGTTTAAGGTTTATTAGGGCTTCAGGGTTTTAGGGTTTATAGGGTTTAGGGTTTTTTTAGGTTTAGGGTTTACAGGGGTATAGAGACAGAGCATATTAAGGACAGTTGGAATTCCATCGAGTTTCGGAGAACATTGGATCAAGCTACTTCAGAAGTCACCGGTTCAGCGAGGGTCTGTGCTTGGCATTCGAGAAGCTGTCGCTCTTGAGCTTCCAGCTCCTGCCGCTTACATGGTTTGGGGGCTGAAGACTATACAGGGTTTCGGGGGTTATGTAATTGTTGTCTATATGGGAACATAGGAGACATCGATCTTGTATGCATAGTAGACGTGCATATATATATATATATACAGCACAATGACATACACCGGGATGTAGACTTCGCGTCCTACACACACACAACAGCGAGAGCTGGGCACCTCATCTTTGTTGAGATATTTATTACAGAGATTTTTATGGAGATTCACCGGGTCGCAGTCATTCTTGCATGTAAGACAAGCCTTAAAACTGAAAGCAAGCCCCAATCGGAGAGAGAGATAGATAGAGAGAGACAACAAGAGATATACAGAGAGTTGTGCATTGGTGATGTACGACTGACTATAATGATCATCCAGGGCTGTTGTGTGCTAAAGTCTGCTCGGGACATACATATTTCGGCACCTGTTGCATATCGGAGGCACGCAATCTCGTTGTTTCGACCCTCTCTCCTTTCCTCTCTCCCGTCCTGTGTCTCTGGTTGTTTGTCTCTCTCACTCGTGCTCTCTCTCTCTCTCTCCCTCCCTCTCTCTCTCTCTCACTCTTTCTCTCTCTTTCTCTCTCACTATATAAGTCTCATGAACTTCAGTAACATATACGCCTGCTTTCTACCCGAGCAAACGACGGTAAAGATGCTGTCCTCTATCTCTTGCTGGAGAGCTGCCTCTTCCACAAGCAGCTGTTCACTGGTGGCCTCGTGATCCACGTGCCGGGCTCCATCCAAGAACGTGGAGCAACTCCACTGCTTCGAAAACACTGAACTCTGAGCAGCCATGCTGGGCAGCTCAAGAAAAACCCTGGAGGCTCTCGGCCACACAGGATTTGGGCAACAAAGGACCTGAAGTCCTGAAGATGTATACATGTAGGTCGCCCTGCATGCGCTTATGCGTGCATGAGTTCTACACAGAAGACGGACACTGATACAAAGAAGCTCATTTCCCAAAGCCAGCCAACCACTTGCAGTGCGCATGTATTCATGCGTCCGTACTGAGGCCGAATTGACAGCTTGAAAGCGCTGATTTTATGTTTCAGCGACACAAAACGGTGCTAAAACGTGCTAAAAGTTGCCACTGGAAGAACCCGGTTTTCATAGCAAGAACCCATAATTTAATTACGGGTTCCGATGGGTAAATTACGGGTTGCGTACGCTTTGCGGACGGGTTGGGGGAAACCAGGTTCTCGGGGGATTACGGGTTACTACGGGTATCTACGGGTTAATTATGGGTTGTGGACGGGTGAAAACCAGGTTCTCACTAGGAGCCGGGTTCCTAGGTGTCCTGCCGTGCCCAAACAGCGCAAAATTATGTTAAAAGTGCTTGAAAGCATTGAAAACAGTCTTGAAACCCATCCTGACCGGACCGTAAAATCATCATACACAGAGGACCTAAACAAAGAACCTGGTTTGTGGTATCACTTAAGTCATTTAATGGGCACAGCAGAAGTCAGGGCTGGGGTCCATCAAGCTCGCCCGGGCACGTGCCGCGGCAGGAGGCTTCTCCAGGCTTCATCAGGGATCTCAAGACCAACCCCGCCCCTCAAATAAAGGTAAAGCTCAGCAAAATTCGCGAAGTCAAACAACCCGTCATGCTGGTTGTACTGCATGGATCTGAAGGTCTCCACGGCCGAAGGAACCCCGCCTGGCGGAAGAGGCGGGCACCCTTTCCCGGTGGCTGCCAGGTTGCTGGCCATCTTCGTAAGTTGCCGTGCAAATCTCATCGGATATTCCCTTGGATGGTCGCGCTTTTACGGCTTCTAGGGGCGATAGGGTTTAGATAGGATTCTGATGAAAGCAACACCCACACGAGAAATTGAGAATGGTATGGGCCGGGTTTCTGAGTTTCCTTCAATGCAGTGGTTGCTGTCCAGCTAGCTTGACCAGTCTTACGAGCACCTCTCTTGACAGTTTGGGGCTGCTTCTTTCCATGCTTGGAACTCCACTCCTTCCGTCGCAAGCGGCCCTGGGAAAGCTCAGTGATATGCTCTGAATTGCACCAAGCATAATGTCTCTTAGGTGTCGGGGCCGCGTAATGTGCCATCCACCAGCGAACACGGACAGCCTCGGAGGAAAGCTATGCATGGTGCTTGTGTTTCTAGATATGTCAATCATAGACTACGTGCGTGTGCATTCTAAGCCCAGTACTGCAAGTGCACCGCTCACGTTCCAGTGTGCAGACAGCAAATCCCGGAAACAGGGGTAGAACTCCAGGCAGGATCCACCAGGTTGCTCTAGCAGCCATATTCCACCAACAACAGTGACCAGGTACATGAGGACAACGGTCCTGTGCCGGGCAGGAATGTGATATATGTTGAACAGGAGGTTTTCGTGAGGTTGTTATGCGGGAGATAATTATGGAGCATCAGCCGCCTAGACTGTGAAAATAAATATCATGAAGATAGGCGATAGAAGGTCCATGCAGCCTCTCGAGTAGCTTGTTCGACTCTCGGACCGAAGGGTAATGCGTACACCCGTACGGTGTTGCTGGGCTCCGCATCGAGGTCCCTTTGTTCATGGTACAGAAGCTGGAACACTTCATGGCAAACGTTGTGATGAGCTTCCCGGTCATTCCCCGCAAGATGAAGTAGATGGCCAAACTGAGTGATACAGTTACAGAGCAAACACTGCCGCCAGAAGGCTGCACTCTCCTAAGACCCTGACACCGAAACAAGCACGATTAATAGACAAGCAGCGCAAATCCAGCAGGGGTGCACAAGTCCATGTAGTTTGACTTGTGTTCACTCCCTGCCCTCCTCAGCTTACCACCTTTGTGGAACCTAGAGTTGTACAATATGTCGAAGCGGCCGGATTTCCGATTCGACCGTCGCATAGAGTACGTCAGGTTGGCCCGGCCAGCGAAAAACTCGAGGAATTCGAAGTCCTGGCGGCGGGAAGCTTATATAGGCGAATTAAGGGGTCTGTGGGCTGTGGGGTTTAGGGGTTGTTGTGCTTAATTGCGTTTGAGGAAAGTTCTTGAATATAGCGGGCTTATGAAGGGTTTATAGATTAGATAATATATCTTTATATATATATATACGGTTTAGGGAATGTATGTTATATATGTATATATATATATATTTATATATTTATTTATATTTATATTTATTTATTTACATAGGGGTGGGAACGGATCTTTGTATATTCACATAATGAAAGCTGCATAAAGCAATGTAGAAGTTGGGTCCAAAGTTTATATAAGAGGCCTTGGGGAGAAGCATCGTTGTAACCTTATACCTGGAGCAGGCACACCATTCTGATTCTGTCAGCAACACACACATTTCCTCGATAGACATTATCCCAACGTTGGGATGGATGATCAAGGGTGCGTATATATTTTTACTTGGGTTTAGTTGAACAACAAACAAACCCGTCCTAACTAAGTTTCCTGTATATGATATAGAATGTAAACCCTGCTGTGTTGGCCTGCTTTGAATATAAATCCCCAAACCCAGAAACCCATAAACCCCAACCTTCCTGAGCCGCAGAGCTTTAGTCACATATCCTAATTAACCCCAATCAACACAAATCCCAACCTTCTTGTCCGCAGCATAGCTTCACTCACCTTCCTGACCTCCATATATCCAGGCTCGTACGAAAGCCCAGCAGTGGCTCAATCCTGGCTACCTTGACTGGACCTCGGGCTTTCCGGGATTTTGGGGTGCAAGGTTCGACTGCGTGGAAGATAGAGTCCTGAGATATAGTCCGGTTTTTCAGATTTACATCTATATATATAGATTCTGAATTTAGGGTTTATAGGATTTATGGGGTTTGTAGGGTTTAAGGAGGGTTTAGGGTTTAGGGTGTGTTTATAATATATATGCGCGTTCAATGTATTTCGGATATATAGGTTGTTAGGGTCCCGTACCATGCAATATAAAGCTTCAGAGAACCAATCAAAATTATATCACGGTCTACTGTCGTTATAGGGTCTATGAGGATTCTAAGGGGCCATCAAAAGGTCGGAAAAGAGTACAAACTCGGATGCTTCAAAGCCCGTACTCGTCTTGGATAGACCGACTCTATACAGGGTCTATCAGGGTTCAGGGTTTATATAGGGCTTTATTTATATAGGGTTTAGGAGGTTTATAAGGAATTAATGGTTTTAACTCCGAAACCCTTTGTATACTCCTTATACACGGCCGAGACACCCTTTATGCTCTGCAAATACATTATCTTATGAGCTCCTAAAGACCCAACCCAGACACAAGCAAGACATCCTGATCGAGGTTCTTCACCGAGAAGATCACCAATAGCAGGCACGCCACGAACTCCTGACGATGACATCACTGCACTATCTAGGCGATCGACGCGTGTAGGCTATCAAAATCGTATAAAGACTCTAGAGAGAGATGCCTTCGGTACAGCCAGCACAGACAGTCGCCACAGCAGCTCGTTTAGACGAAACGGATCCATATCTGCACAGGTGCCCCGCTGATTGCTGAAGCTGAAAATTCTACGAGGCCGGCCACAATGCTCAAGAATGCAAGCGGCATGTGCAATCACAGGCTCTGTTTCAAGACGTGATATGTCAAGCTTGCTACTTCACAAACCGACCACCCTGGACCCTCGCTTTCCCAAAACGTGGCAGGCTGTGCTTTGCGATCTTTGAAGCCGCGATCTCCATGCGAAGCCACGAGACACAGTCGGGGTCCGGCCTGAGCAAGCTCGAAGTTAAGGGGTTTGCGTACATGAAGTTGGGGTGTTTTGGTTTATAAAGAGGGTTGAGCGTTTTTTTGGGGTTTGGGGTTTATAGGGTTTGGGGTTTATATATATAGGGATTGGGGTTTAGGGATCATAGGGTTAAAAGTTTATATAGTTTATAGGGCTTGGGGTTTATATATATATATATATATGGTTTAGAGTTTATAGGGTTTATAGGGTTTATAGGATCGAGGGTGTTTATACCTTATAAGCTACCCAAACCTATATATATATATATGTACATTAGTCCCTCTACCGTCTAGACCAGGGTTAATAGTACATAGAAGGTCAAAGGGTCGCTACAGGTATAGGAGCTGTGCTTGAAATTGTGGAAAGCCTTGCTACCCTAAACCCTATGAACCCTCTATAACCCTCTATGGCCATCTTCGGGCCTTCAGGTTTTAGTTCTGGTCCATGTATGGAAGCTTCTTGGGGCTCTTTACAATGCATGATATTTTGAAGGCCACTTTCTAGAGATGGCTGGCGCATGCCAAGTTTCACTATCGGCTTAGGGTTTATATATATATATAGGGTTTAGGGTTATATATGGTTTAATTACATTTTCAGTTCTTTGGGGGCTTGCCGTTTGAATAGCTCGAACTGGAGCACGAAAAGGCAGCTAAGAAGTCTTTTGCGGAAGCACAAGCCGTGTCTGTGTCGATGCCGAAACTGCTAAGATGCAGAACTATGCCGGCATCACAGCGCGTGCTGCGGGCCAAGAGGACTCGATACACGATGTGTTTGTTTTGCAAGATGGAAGAGAATGTAGTATATCGATCGATCCTTGTATACACTGGCTAGTGACGGCTAGTGCCGGCCTTGCATCAGTGATCGGCTTGAAACACAGATTGAGTTTCGGAGCTTCAAAACCCCAGAGATCTACTGAACAGTGGCGGTGCCACATGCTCAAAAGTCGCGAAACGACCTGACCCTGCAACACGAACTATATACCGATACAGACACATCGAGAGGTAACCACATGAGAGGCATACAGTGTTTATAAGGGCTATAACCAGGAAAGGTCTCATCGCTCAACCCGCCACCTTTGGCAGCCATGCATCCCAGCTATGCAGCAAACAGATAGCTCCCATTTCAGGCATGGCCACATGTAGCAGGATCCATATCATTACATCGGCTCGGGTATTCACTCCTCGATCTCAGAGTCCTCGAGCAAATCCTCCATGGCCTTGCGACCGTGCAAGAGAACCATCTCGTAGTGGGCAGTCACCTCAGGATCCTCCAAGAGAACGGCAACCCCCTTCTCAGCGAAGCCCTCCATCTTTTCCAAAGGCTCCAAATCCAAGAGGTGATCCAAGTACTCTGCCTGAGTCAAGATACTTGCTTTCTTTGCAAAGAAACAAACACGCACTTGAGAAGGAAACCCATCGATCATACAAACAAGGAGCCATCTCGATGCCCACTTGGATGGACACAAGCATGTGGATGCGGTAGCAGACATTCTCGGGGCAGGGGAAGGCGTTGTAAAAGAAGTCCTTGTTGCGCTCGTGCTTCTTGAACTTCAGGGCAACCGCAGGCCTCGTCCAGTAGATGATCAGATTGGTATTCTCGAAGGAGGAAAGGCAGGAGCGAAGCCTTTTCCTCGTCTCCAAGTCGAAACCATTCTCCTGGGAGTAACACTGCCGGCCATAGGCATGGAAGCGGTCCATCATGTACTCATCAATGTCAGCGTTCGCCTCCTTGTCCTTGGAAACCGCTGGGCGAAGGCTACCGGCCTTTGCCTTAGCCTTCCCTTTCGGCTTCGGCGTCTTGGCTGGCGCCCCATCTCCCTCACTCGCTGCCTTTGCTTTGCCCTTTCCCTTGTTGCTGGATTTCGGCTCTGAGTCCTTTGCCCTGGACTTCGCCTTGGCCTTGGGCTTGGGCTTCCCACCAGCAGCCACTGTGTCCTCTGCCGGGGCACTCGACTTCGAAGCTGGGGAGCTCGATGCACGGTCGTCCGTCGCTGGCTCGGCTTTCCTTTTCTTGGTGGCCGATTCTGTCTCCGGCTCGGCTTTCGCGGCCTTGCTCTTCTTGGTTGTCGAAGCTGGGGATGCATGGTCGTCCGTCGTCGGCTTGGCTTTCCCTTTGGCCTTGGTTGTCGAAGCTGGGGATGCATGGTCGTCCGTACTCCGCTTGGCTTTCCCTTTGGCCTTGGTCGTGGAAGCTGGGGATGCCTGGTCGTCCTTCTTCGAGGACTTCGAAGCTGGGGAATCCGAAAGATCCTTGCGGGTCTTGGTATTCTTGCGCTTCGCCTTCAGAATGCGACGACGCTTGCCTGGCGCACGCCCCCGCTTCTCAGCAGAAGCAGTAGCCTCATCATCGCCAGCATCGGCCTTGTGTCCAGCCTTGCGATCGTCAGCAACGTTCTTGGTTGGAGCCTTGCGCCCGCGCTTGCCTTCAGCCTGATCGGTCTTCATCAAGATCTTGTGCTCTGCATTCACCTATATTCAAGGAAGGTTGGGGGCACAAGTCAATCAGCTCGCCATCGGAAGCACACTGGACATAAGTATCGACCATTTATGCCCTACTATGCAGAGCATTACAACACAACTCAAGCATTCAAGCACCTTTCCCTCCGGAGTGAAAGCAAGATCCTCTTCGTCCTTTTTGGAAGGAGGCGATGCTGTAGTCGTAGGGGTGGAGGGAGGTGACACCTTCCTTCGCAACCTCCTCATATCCTTCAGCTTCTTGGGGGCAGCACTATCAGCTGGCAGGGCCTTGTCAGGCGACTCAGGATCGGGTACACTCCGGATGTCAAGCTGCTGAGTCTCCACATTATCCATAGATCCTGCACACGTAGAGAGAGAGAGAGAGAGAAAGAGATATATATATAGATGGAGAAAGAGGGTTTTAATATCAGGAGGAACAGAGAGAGACAGAGAGAGAGAGAGAGAGAGAAGAGACGGAGAGAGAGCGACAGAGAGAGCGTAAGGGAGAGAGAGAGAGAGAGAGAAAGAAAGAGAAATGGAAAGAGATCGATGGATGTATATACAGAGGGAGAAACAAGCAACACAGACTCGATTGAAATTGTGATTGTTTGAGCAGAACCAAAACGTGTTGTAAATACCTGCTGACACAACACAACTGCAAGCTCGCCCCTTGCACCCCTGTCCTGCGGGAACACCGCTGGAGGTCTTGCACCTCTTAACATTCTCAGCTAAAGGGGCACCCGTCTCCAGGGCCAATTTCTTCGCCTTGAGCCTGAGCCAAAGTGGGAATCCCGATAAACCTTCATGCGCCACAAACACACTCAGACCTTGTATGCGTGCAAAGCAGCTAGGCCAATCGCTCCTTGGCCTCCGCAAGCTTGTTGGACACCTCCACCATCTTGTGGTACTCACCTGTTGATCGAAAATTGCATGATGACACGAAGCAGGTAACACGGTATCTGCGCATCATTTTTCACATGATTTTGGTGCTGACGGCATATCATGTTGCATGCAAGCTGCGTGGCAGCTCTGGCTGCGACGGGGCTGTCGCCGGCTCCTCCTTAACATCGTCCGCGGCCGTGAGGTCGACCACATCGCTCCCCCCAGGCGGAGCATCCTCCCCCGGCCCGCTTTCCCGTGCCGCCTCCTCCTCCGGCGCACCCTGCTCATCCTCTGCAGCCTCCGTCTCGTAGGCATCCTCATCCATGCCCACGTCATCCTACCAAGTGCATGAGGCCCAAAAGAATTAATTTAAGTAAGTCATGAGCACTCGACGACTTCAAACGACCGGCACTGCATGAAGCAGAACTCGCCTCGTCCCAAGTCTTGTTGAAGCGAATCATCCTCTCGTTGATCTCGGTAACGACCTCCTGACAGCATGACGAATTTTTAGGGAACGGGCTTTAAATCCATCGAGTACATAACCCCAAGCCTGCAGGTCGGGGTCCAGGTCCAAACAAAGCTCTTGGAATCCAGTGTCCTCGGAGGACGTGGCATCTCATATATAAGAAACACCCACATACATTGCAAGCCGGGCCCGACCTATGCTTTTAAATTGCATTCAGGCGTCGTTGGAGGGTTGCTGTTTGCGGCATTTCATCTTCACGAACCCTGCATACTTCCGCAAGTTCCATGCAACATGATCCACATCAGAGCTTACGATCTCCCGCTGGTTCAGCTGATAAACATGCTTCACCTCCTCTCGCAAGCCGTCTATGGAGGGGAGCTTCTTGTTGTTCTCACGCATGATTTCCAAGATCGGTTTCAAAACTGCCACATAGGCTGACGGCGTTCGGATATCCAAGTTCCGCTCCGACACCTGCGAGAACAGGGGCTCGCCGCCCCGCAGGCGTTGGCGGATGGCCGGCACCCCGTCCCAAGTGGCGGCTAAGCCCGTCAAATCCAAGGCCCCCGTTGCATCAGCAGACCCCAAAGAAGAGGAGGAAGCCGGGGCGGCGTCCGCTGGGTCAAGAGAAGATGCTGAGGCACCAGACATGGTGGATCGAATGAGCCACACCTACCCAAGAGCTAGCAAGCCTAAATGCTTCAAAGAAACATAACAAGCAGCTCTACCACCTTCTCAGTACGATAGCTGGAAGAAAGCAAGAGCAGCAGGAAGGATGAGAGAAGGAGAAACAGTGGGAGAGAGAGAGAGGGAGAGAGAGACACCAAAAAATGATGCAGACAATCTTGGCAGTGAGCAACTTCTGAACTTCTGCGCAGGACAGTGCTGCTGAGCACCGGACCTGCTGATCTCGGAGAAAACTTTGTCGCCATTGCAGTCGCGAGCGTTCCACATGATTTCCATACATCGATCCTTGCATAACCTCGATCCCTTTGAAGCATAAAAGCAGGGCCGTGAAAGACCCTGAGCCCTGAGCCCCAACATAAAGAAATATACCGGTATCCTTTATATCCACCCTGCATATAAGCAATCTCAATATACGGATCGTAGCACTATATAGAACCCTTTCCTGCTTAGGCCCTTTCGGTTATAGAACCCTTTCCTGTTTAGGCCCTTTCGGTTGCTACAGAAGATTATCTACATGCATCCGAACTCAGACATGAACTCCAACTTGGCCGTATAGGCCTGCGACGACATGGGAGCCTCTCAAATGAAAGGTGTCTTTCATGGGACTCGAGGATTTCGGCACGAATTATTGTGCTTCAATCAAGATCATTTCCGCGCTACGTAACTTGCTTATGTAGAATCTTGATGTAGCCCCCATCATCGAGTTGCTTCTTATTGTTATGATCATCTCAAGTGAAGCATCATCATGAAAACCCGGGTCTTGAAAACAAACCCCGGTTCTTAACATAAATGATCTTAGAGACGGGGTCTCTATCTGCGACCGCTTATTTCTTCGGTTAGCGGCGCCGGCGCCGTTGGTAACCATAAAGAGGCCAACCTAGAGCATCGACTGCAGAGCGACAACAGCGCTACCATGCAGTGCAGCGAGCACTGACAGGGCGTCATGTAGTTTCCGGGGCCCATCGAGTACGGTTGTGGGATGCCTGTGTCAACACCAGCTTGCTTTACTCATTGCCCGCGGTGGGGCTTACCGAACCCAGCCTCAGGCGCCTGGAGACCCGCGTGCTCAAGCATGTGCGTGCAATCCTAAGGTTGCCGGCACACTTGACTAGAGTGCGGAATGAGGAAGTCTGGAGTCAAGCCCAGGTTGTCCCACCGGGACAACGCGTCCTTCAGGCCCTGGCGTCTTTTCGGGCCAAGCTCGAGGCTCGGGCACAGCAGTCGCCGGATATTACCACTGATCCAGCGCTGCTTCAACACGTGTGCTCAGAGGAAAGGCAGCTTGCACTGCTGCTCCAGAAGCGAGCCCCACGGGCGGAGCCTCGCCCGCAGCCCGAACCGGCTGCATCATGGCCGTGCCCGCATTGTGACCATGTAGCGCATACTTCCCATGCCTTGAGGATCCATTGCGGCTTACATCATCCTGAGGGACCCAAAACCACAGTCGGGCAGGCTACCACGTTTGATCCGGTGAAACATGCAGTGGGCGGCCTCCCCCATTGTCGCCTGTGTGGGCGCAAATTCAGGAAATGGCAAAATCTACGTCGGCACATTGAAGAAGGCACGTGCACTGCTCTAGGGGGCACGAGTTTCATCCAGCAACCCCGGGCTGAGGTTGAGCACACACCCGCTCCGGCTGAGCAGCTGAAGCCTCCTGACGCCTCCACTGCAGACCTGCAAAACACTCCACTAGTGCAAAGGCCTTTCTTTCTACGTGATTGGAAGCAATGGGACTCCATGTTGGCTCACCCTGTTCTCCGCCAAGAGCTTACAAAGCACTGTGCCATCTGTCAGATGTTCGTCATGGACATAAAGCACATCAAACAGCACATCCGCAGAGCCCACTCTGCGATTTTTGAAGGTCTACAGGACATCGTTAAACAGCGCTGTAAGCCTTTTAAGACCCAGCTGGTCACCAATAGCAATTGCCCTTGGTGCTTGTGCAAGGTCTGGAGCCCAGGCAGACATGTCGATCAGTGTCCAGTGCTCTTTCAGCTCTGTCTAGCTGCTACCCACTGCGAACAGCTGCACCAGTCGAATCCGTCATCCTCTGTTATCCGAGACGCAGCCGCCGAGGCTGCGCCACACCTCCTGGATGACGGGAGCCAGCCTGAACCCCGAAGCGGAGATCTTCCGGCATTGCATGGCGCAGATGGGACAGGGGCACGGAGCTCCGCACAAGGAGAATCTCCCTCACAAGCGCCCTCGACAGGAAGCCACGGGCCGCCGCGGGCAAAGGCGACCATTCGCTCCTTCTTCACACCACGAGCCGTCGATGCCCGGCGATCAGATCCAAACCATGGCGAAGATGATCATGCGCCAAGAGGAGATCATTGCGGAGCTACGCATGGACAAAAATCTGTTGCTGTACTTCAAGGAGAACGACTTCAGCATTCTCCCGGGGCTCTACCAAGTGGCGAAAGAATGGGGCAAGCAGCAGGAGGAGGGCATGTCTCAGACAACCTCCCCCCTTCGCACCCTCCTGCTTGCATGCTTGATCCAGCAGCTGCGGGAACGCGTGAATCACATGACCGAGAATGCGGAGGGGATCGGCAAGCTACAGGCAGCTGGATGGATGAATGCGGACAAGCATTGGACCATGCAGCGATGGTGCCACCAAGCCAAACGGCTTGTACAGCACCCGGAGGCGGGGGTGATGACGCACCAGGATCTCTTGGCCAAACTCGAGTTTTTGCTGGAGAACCTGAAGGGCGACGTGATCCACAAGTTCCACTCGACGAAAAGATTAGATGCCCTGGAAGACGAGCAAGCGACGGCAGCAGTCTTCTTCCTATCGGTCAGCTTGAGAGGACTTGTCGCCACTCAGGTACACGAGACCTTTGTGCAGTTGATCGGGGTCTCGGCACTGCAGCTTGTGGGGCTTTCGGTGAAACGGGCGACGCTCAAAAGGCCACCACTCGCCCAACAGGTGGCTCGCATGGCTTATGGCCGATGAACAGTCAGACAGAAGCAGGTGGGACACAGCCTGCACCATTCATGTTACCACCCTTCACCCTAATCAATGATGGTAATGCCTGCTACATCAATTCATTGTTGTATGCTCTTTGGCTGGCTGCGACACGCACGCATTCTGCCCTCCCACCAGTGCTTCAAAACTTGCAGGGTGCAGGGTTGCGCGCCAAACGCGTGCTGGGGTTCTATATGATGGGGTGGCCGCGGGCTTGGGAACAACATGATGTAGCCGAGTTCCACGATTTCCTCGTGCCCAGGCTGACTCGGGCCACGGGGGACATGTGGCAGGGTCGGGCAATGGTTGAGGACACTACGCGTGTCCACCAAACCGGTCAGGTGTGCAAGTGCATTTCTCTCCCTCTGCCGCCAGCTCCTAAAACAGCAGTTCAGGAGCTCATTGATGCATGGCATCAGCAGGATGACCTTTGTGCACTCGTAGTCACTCCACCATGGTTAAGTTTGCAGCTGCCCCGATTCAATGCTGACACAGGGGAGAAGACTCAGCAGCCTTACATTGTGCCAGGCATGCTGCGTCTACCAGTTTTTGCAGAAGCCGACACGCAGGCAGTAGCATGGTGCAACTATGAAGTCCACTCCATCATTAGACACCATGGACCCACTTTCCGCGCAGGCCACTACACGGTGCTTGTGAGGGGCGATACAGACTTTCTGCTGGATGATGACCAACAGCCAAAAAGCGCAGTGCCTGAGGATCTCGACGCCACGTCAAGATCCATGTATGTTCTTGTTTTGTGTCGTTGCATGTCTGTCAGCCTTAGTCTCAATCCGGCCTCTCCGGCAGCCATTCCGAGCAGCTCGCATCATGGACTGGACGGCTCCGGTGGCCGCTACCGAGAGAGAGCGTTGGCTGTCACGCCAGCTTTACCTTCTGGAAATCTGGATAAAGCAGCTGGTGAAAGACAATGATGCATTGCAGGAGAGAATGGACACGCTCGACAGGCGCATGAGCTACATTATGCTCCGCTTACCAGTGGGCATTACAGCTGGGGGCAGGAACAAAGCTGTTCCCGAACGCTTGCCCATCGCTCTGGATACCCTGGATGATTGATCGTAGTTCGGGGCGGGGATGGCAAGGCAGTTGAATCCTCCTGTACAATCTGATTCATAGCCTGCTATCTCATTCATTCCAGACTCCGTCTCTCAAAGAGGCGACAGGTCCGAGTTCATTGTTTCTAACTTTTTAGTTAGTGGGGCGATCTCAATAAGAGTGCGCGCCTACCATAGGCATTCGTGCTAGCCGCACGCTTCAGCTTAGCGGCCGAGATGCAATGCATCTTGATCAGGCACCCGCTAGACCAGGACTTTCTGGCTGCGTTGGAAAAAAAAGAAAAAAATGATGATGACGACCGCGAAACTTCCGCGAAACTGATGTCGACGATGATGGTGATTGTGGTAGTGCTGATGAGGATGAGGAGGACGATGCCTCTCGTGCTGGCGATGATGGTGACTAGGATGACGATGCCGAGGTCGTCTTCTTGATTTTGCAACACATACTGCTGTTGAACGAGTTTGAATGCCACTCCTAGTCGTGTCCAGTTGTGCACGCACGACTTGACCATGTAGGCATACGGTGAAACACGTCGTGCCTTTGTGGTGCCCGGATTCTCAGCCATAGCTCTGAGAATTAGGCTTTCGTGGCGGAGGTGTAAAGTGTAACGGGTCAGGTCGTCGCTGCGTCCATGGATAGTGGCGAGACCAAGCAGGCAGGAGCTTCCGGTTCCGGGCACTGCCAATCGGTGCATCAGGGCACAGAATGTGGCCTGGTGGTTTAAGTTTTGTTTCTGGGGATGCAGTGATGTCGAACGAGTTCCGAATTGTTTCCTGCAGTTGCTCGCGCGTCTCGATGAAATCCGCGTGCCCCTGTCAGGGCTGGGCATTGTGCATTTGTTTGCTGGGTGCAGCTTGGCGAGCGACGGAGACAGTACTTTTGGGCTTGTCCAGCTAGGGGGATTGGTGTATGAGATTTGTGCTTCGGGCATCTTGGGGCTATACTTGCAAGACTCAGAACACCCGGCCTTGCGTAACGTTGGCTTCTTTGTTTCCTGTTGAGTTGTTGACCGGGCACGGGGGACAGGAGGTTTGTTATCCACGGATTTTCGAGGGCCCAGGAGACCATGATCTAGAATCTAGAAAAGACCCTTGATGGGATCGCGGATCAAACCATTCCACCTCGCAAACAAAGATCGTAGTTTTGGCGCTCGCTTTGCAGCAAAATCCTCAGAAATGAGATGTATTATCTGAAGATCCTTCATCGAGGCCTTGTACGCGTGGGCGTTGCGACCCCACAGCCGCGCCCTTCTTTCGGCAACATCTGCTTTGGCCACTGGCAGAGCCTGGCAACGCGGCCTAGGTTCCCGGTTTGTTTTTTCTTTCTGAGTTTTACTGGGACATAATATGAGGGTTTGTGGTGTCATGTGATTCTGTGGTTCGGATGGAGTTACTGATGTTATTGATATTGTTACGTTCAACCGTCGCGGCCAGCAATAGTCAGCAATGTAGGACGTCGCGTAGGATGCTCCAGTAGCTGGCTGTTGCACGAAAGTTTTCGGAGTCCGTCGGTTGAATTTGTTGAAGCTTCGGATCTTAGTGCATTACATTAGTTATTCTACGATTCTACAGCCTTCGAGCTTCGTCGGTTCGCAGGGTGAGGGGTGCCGGGGCTCGGGAGGTTAGAACTGAGCAGGCTCAATTACTCCGCTTAAACTTAATAAAAAAACCTTCGATTCAACTTGCCCGGAGACCTGGGCAGTGGCCGAAACCTGCAATCTGCTCCTAAGCTTGCCGACCACCTGAAAGCAGGCTTTGCAGATTTCGTAAAATAAGAGCGGCAAGTACGGTAATTGGTGCGAACTCGGGATCGCAGCGAACTGATGTTTTGAAAAAGAGAAGTACCGACGCCCCCAGATGCAGACACCCAACAACCAGCCAAGCAACCAGCCGGCCGGACAACCGACGACCAAGCCACCAACCGACCAACCGACCCACGCACAACATTCATAAACACTAAACAACACCAAACAAACAACAACCTGCGACCAGCAAGCAACAACCAACAACCTACCACCATCACCAACAACAACCACCACATTCACCACAATCACAGCAGCAGTCACAGCAACCACAACAAGCATGCCCACAAGTACAGCTATCATCAGCAACAGCACGCGCACCAGCACAAGCGACAGCACCACCAGAACCACCACCACCAACACCACCACGACCACCAACAACAACACCACGAACAGCCACAGCACCGGCAGCGGCAGCAGCAGCAGCAGCAGCAGCTGCAGCAGCAGCAGCAGCAGCAGCAGCTCCTCATCATCAACAGCAGCAGCACCACAACCATCAACAATCACCACCAACAACCAACAACCAGCAACTAACAACCGACAAAATCACACCACCAGCGGCACCGGCGAACAACCAACGACAAGCGACTCCAACGACAACGACAACGACAACGACACCACCACCACCACCACCACCGCCGCCGCCACCACCACAAACACCGCCACCACCACCACCACCACCACCACCACCACCACCACCACCCCCGACACCACCCCCGACA